GATCGCGCTCGTTACCCTTTGTTTGGTATTGGTTAACGTTAAATAACTTGCATGGCATAGCTTAAGGTTGTGGCTTAGAAATTAGTTATTTCACACACCGGCCTATTTTCCACTGACAGTCAATTTATTTTCTAATGAATATTGTCCTCCAAAGGTCTAAGCATTTTCGTTATTATTTTCTCTGGTTTCTGCAACCTATTTTCTTCGATTCCTTTTCCTAGCCCCCTCTCTTTTGGGTTCTTATAGGGATCTCTGTTGGTTGATCATTCTTTTCTTTATTTTTCTTCTTTTTATCTTTTCTGCGTATATGTTGGTGCTTCTTTACATGTTCTATTACCGTGTGACTTAGTGTGTTAATCATGGATTCTAACATTTGTAATCTTTTACGTGATCCCTCCACTCTTACAACCAATTATTCAGTTCCATTTTGCCAACTGATTGCTTTCAACCTCTAACATTGTATATACTTTACAGGAAATGTCAGCCCCTGTCATTGATGGAAATGACCCTGTTACCGGTCACATAATATCCACGACTATTGGAGGCAAGAATGGGGAGCCCAAACAGGTTAACATTCATGTCAATCCCTCTCCACTTATTTTCTAATTTCCCATGCGTATTCTATAAAATATGGAGACTAAGAGATTCAATTTTGTTGGTCAACAGTATATATTTTTTCTGCACAAACTTATGATACTTCTGATTTTTCTTGATCCTGTAGACCATAAGTTACATGGCAGAACGTGTTGTTGGGACTGGGTCATTTGGTATTGTTTTCAAGGTATTCTATACGTTATTCCTCTAGCAGTTTGATTCTTTTGTCATTTTCTTGGTCATATGATACATGATGCATAAATGTTCTCTTTCTCAGGCCAAATGCTTGGAAACTGGTGAAAATGTGGCTATAAAGAAGGTTTTGCAGGACAGAAGATATAAGAACCGTGAGCTCCAGTTAATGCGCGTGATGGATCATCCAAATGTGATTTCCTTAAAGCATTGTTTCTTTTCCACTACTACTAAAGACGAACTTTTTCTCAACTTGGTTATGGAATATGTCCCTGAAACCATGTTTCGGGTTTTGAAGCATTACAGTAATGCAAATCAAAGAATGCCAATCATCTATGTCAAACTCTACATGTACCAGGTACGAATGATTCTCCTTTATAATTTCAATTTAACATGTGGCTCTTTTCTCATGTGCATTGGGGTTTCGTCCAGGTTTTTAGGGGCCTGGCCTATATCCACACGGTTCCTGGAGTTTGCCACCGAGATTTGAAGCCTCAAAATATTTTGGTACACTCTTTGACGATTTAAAAAAGGATATCAATATTGAGTTAAATTTTTGTTGAAAAGAATAGTTGTAGATGCCTATACTTGTGGTTGATGATTGCCTAATGTCCTACTTGCTTTCTGCAGGTTGATCCCCTTACACACCAAGTTAAAATATGTGACTTTGGAAGTGCAAAAATGCTTGTACGTTGATAAATTTTCAATATGTTGTTTCTTTCACTTATATTTGTTTCTTAATACTTTCGGAGTGTAATATTGAAGTTTGCTATTTCAGTGCGTTGGTTTAAAGTTTCAAATTTCCTTTATAAGAAAAGTATATTTCACTATTGTCATATAAGTTAAAGATTTCCTTGTTACATTGATTTTTTTTTCATGTTCATGATTGAGAGCTCAACACAAACATACAGTGACCTATCAAAATTCCCTCTTTGGGGTGGGGTGGTTGTGGGGATGTAGTTTTTGGTCCGTACATTAGTCTTGTTTATCTTATAAGTTTGCTAATTCCACTAAAACATACATTGGCTTCTGAAACCTAACTCTTAGACTAGATCATCATTTTATGGATCCTAAATGCCCATATCTAACTCAGGTCATACAAATCTATACTTTTGAAACCGATTTGTCTACACACAAACCTTGGCTTTCCAATTGTGCAAGCTTCCAAAATCCTTGAACTAAATGTTTCCTTTAAAATATTTATGAAGGTGGTTTGCATGCATTTACTGCTTTCCATGCTGTCAATTTGATTAACAACCAGCAGTGAATCACCATGGTTTGCATGGTCAAATGGACAAATTAAATTGTGAACTCTAATGTTTTTGGGGTTGCAAATTCGAATCTTGTTGCTAGCTACTTAGAGTTTGAGTATTCTATGGGGTTTTCAATTCTAGATATTGTAGGACGAAGCAGGGTTGTTTTTTGATATTACTCCAGCATTTGGGTGCCTAAGACTATCTTCTTACGAAAGGAAAAATAAACTGCAAACAAGAATCGACAAATGTCTTTTTTGTTTGATCTTTTTATCCTGTCTTCCTCTCGAGTCTCAAGTGTGGTTATCAGTATGCTTGGATGAGTAAAAATAAGTTAGTTGATTGCCAAGGCTTTAAAAGTAGCAGATGCTTTATTTTCATTGCCCCACTTTCTTCGTTAAGTCTTATTTTGAGTACTTTGATCTGTGTGCTCCAGATGAAAGGTGAAGCCAACGTTTCATACATTTGTTCACGCTTCTATCGAGCACCAGAACTCATCTTTGGAGCTACAGAGTATACAACCTCAATAGATATTTGGTCAGCTGGTTGTGTCCTTGCAGAGCTACTTTTGGGGCAGGTAAGCGTTTTCAATGATTTTTTCAATTTAAACTTTGTCATAACTCATAACCAGCTTAACACTAATTTATGTATTTGTAGCCTTTGTTTCCCGGAGAAAATGCAGTGGACCAGCTTGTAGAGATTATTAAGGTATTCTTGGATATTATTATTCATTACAATTTACACATTGTGTACAATTTACCTACTTTGCGATGGTTATTTTTTAGGTTCTTGGCACACCAACTCGTGAAGAAATTCGATGTATGAATCCAAGCTATACAGATTATAGGTTTCCACAGATAAAAGCTCACCCATGGCACAAGGTCTGTGACATATTCAAGTTGATCCTAGGGGCATTTTGTCTCCCATGGTCTTGTTACTTTGGAGCTTTTTCTCTTACATGCATTATGTGCTATTTGTCAGGTTTTCCACAAACGGATGCCTCCCGAGGCAATAGATCTGGCCTCACGATTGCTTCAGTATTCACCTAGTCTCCGCTGCACAGCGGTAAGTTCAATATGCTCCAGTATCTTTCTATATAGCAATGCGACATTATCTCTGCACTTCTTTTGAGGAGTCATACCTTTCCATGCTATAACTTGCTCTTGGTTGATTTTTGGCTGAAAATAAATTCAAGTTTCTTTTTCATTGGAATAGTAGTACAATTATATCAAGTGGATATTGGCTTTTGTCTGCGACAGTGGTATATTTTGCTCTTCTTGAGTGTATCTACTTCTCTGCATGCAGCTGGAAGCTTGCGCACATCCTTTCTTTGATGAACTCCGAGAACCCAATGCTCGTCTCCCAAATGGTCGACCATTCCCACCCCTCTTTAACTTCAAACAGGAGGTGTGTATACCATTTTACCGTCATTCTAAGGAAATTGCCAAATATATGTTGTTGAATATATCTGTAGTTTAGACATATTATGGTATTTGTCTTCAGAGCATAGATGCCCAATAGTTTTTATTGTGAGAACTGAGAAGGAAGAAGCAGCAATGTAAATGGTTTAATTATGCCTGTTTTTAGGGAGCAGATCGAGGTTCATATTGAATTCAATTGCATCTCTTTAAGCCTCTGCATCGATCGTGATTGAAAATAACTAAAACTGTTCCAGAATCTATACTAATCAGTAATCAAGAAATTGTTGGAAGACTTGGTTTACTAGGTTACTTGCCAATTAGAATTACTATTTTATATTCATTATGTGTTATGGTAATTGATATTTCTCTTGCAGCTGTCGGGGGCCTCTCCAGAGCTCATTAACAAGTTGATACCTGATCAAGTGAAACGACAGATGGGTCTTAATTTGCATCTGGCAGTGTCGTAAATATAGACTTATGTGCAGTTGGATTCTTCTTGTTCATGCGTGGTGCAAAGCCTACCGACCAACTTTAAGTTCAACTCCGCCTGTATTAAACTGAGGAAGTTTACGTTGCTCTACTCCGAAACCTGCAGGTCGGGGGACTACATACCAATTCTTCCTCGACGTGTTGTTTTCCTCGTACTGTCCACCCAAATTCCATCCATCCCTCAATCTCAGTTCTGATGATACCACCTCAAGTTGTTGTATATGTTTGGTAGTATATTGAAGGAAGCCAGAGTTTGACTTAGCAGAAAGCTGCTAGAAGAGGGATAGTAGTAGGGAAAATTGTGCATCTTTAGTTAGGAAGAAGAGGGTATCTAATTATGTGTATGGCTGAAGAAAAAATGGTTGGAATCGAGTTGGTTATTGGGTTTTGTTTCCAGTTCCAGGGTGGTTTCAAGATGGCTGACTTCAAATTGCAAAAACTTGTAGCTATCCTATTATTGTATTCCAAGAATCTCTCTCTTAAAATTAATCACGAATCTATTTGTACTTCACATCTCCATTTCTTGTTGGTTCTGCCTCTTGACTCAAAGGGAAAAGACTTTGCAATGGAAACTATCCGAACTGTATGTTCTAAATCATGAAGCCAAGCCATAAGAGATAAAGTCAAAATGAAAAGTTATTGCCATAATTTTGCAGTTAGTAAATGAAGAGTTCTAAGGAAATTAAAAATTTAAGATTAGTTTAATTCTGAAATTGTTTTTGCATTTGCACATGGTAGTCTTGACTCTCGACTGTCATTGTCCTCTCGAGCTCTTTGGAGCTAACCTGCTACTGCGTCTGCGTGCGTGCTAGGGCAACTTCAAGAGGGAAGATCGACGAAAAACAAATGGAGAGATGAGAAGAAATAAGAAAAAGGATGTAGCCTCGCCATTATTTCCGAGAATTGCGCCAAATTCCAAAAGCCGGAATCATTAATGTTGGCGCCACTGGGGCGCAGAGAGACATCGAGCTCTAATTTTTTTTTTTTAATTTTATCTTAT